ATTGGGTGAGTGATTGGATAATTAGAAATGGAATCGGAGGAGGATATCGATATGCAAGACGCCAACAACGAATCGGGTGACGATGACTTCTACAGTGGCGGGGACGATGAAGCTGCCTCTATGGCACTTTATGATGACTCTGATGCTGATGTAGCTGATTACGAGTTCATCGACAACGATTCTGATGATTCAGATGTTCTCGTCTCTTATCGTCATCAGGTATTGCTCTTTCTCTTCAAACTGTTGAAGTGTGTCTTGGACTTTCCTAAATTCGAAATTCTGAGCTTTGATGTCGTGGGTTAGTGTCTGAAGGTGATATCTTTGAATGCGTGAGTCATGTCTTGCTGCATTTTCTGCTGTTCCATGTATTTTGTTTTTATATTAAAGAACAATTTTGGATTTTATGGTCTGTGTTAGTGTTAGCTAAGTATGATTGTTTATATACAGGTACGTCTTTTCAAGTTTCATGGAATTTGATCTTGCTTTTGTGAATTGGGTGACATTTGTGGTTGGATACGTTTTATCACGGTCATCAACTTAGGTGATTTTCCATTTTTAATTCTTTATCGGAATTTGGTAACCCTTTAATTGTTATAAATGATCATTGTTGAAGGATGGTTACAGGTGGATGATGTTGGCCTTGTATTGCTAGAAACTTAGAATCTCTATCGTTTGTTTTCTTTTGAGAATAAAGTTGAAAAAGGGCTTATCAGTAAAACGCAGGTTTCAGAGTGAATTAATCATTCACTTTTCCCATAACAGTGCCTTTATTTTTTTAACTCTGGCATTTAGTTAACATTGATTGATAGGATTGTGTACCTAAAATCAAAATTGAGGACTAAGGAACATATAAGTAATTTTTGACATTGTTAACAAGATAGCATTCTGCATTGAATTGATGCATCAACAATTAAAGCATTACCTTGATCTATGACAAGGACAAGCAACTATATGCAATAGAGTGATAGGGTGGGTAACCATGTGAACTATTGAATCGAAAGGAAGAGAATGGTTTAGCTTGAAAGCATCAGAGGGGGCCAAGGGAGTAATCCAACATCAACCTGAGTATGATCTACAGTTAGGTTCAAACAGCAGTTTTTAACTGTTTGCAGACTGCTCTTTTAATATTGCCTGCATAAGTATAGTTTATAGATTTAGGATCTTTTTGTTGCCATAAGCTTCAACAACTGCTTTCTATAACAAGATTTAGGTTTTCTTTATCACCTTTCTTTTTCCATCTTTTGCAGTTAATTGATTAAAAACTACATGGTTTGTTATAGAAGTTTATGAAATTGCCCAAGCATGTATATATAGAAGTTAAGCCTCTGTTTTGTTTGATTTGTTGGAGCAACTTATCCAAAGCATGTCTCTCTTCTTGTCTTAGCAAAATTATACAATTTTAAGCGAAGCAGATATTCGTCGGCGTCAAGAGGATGACATTATGAGGATATCCACTGTGCTTTCTATTTCAAATGTTGAGGCCAGCATCTTGCTGCGCTACTATAATTGGTGAGATATCTCTATTGAAATTGGAGCATCAAATGAGCATCTTACCTTTTTTTTTTTTAATTAAATATTTCGTAAATATTTTGTAAATATTTTATTTTTAAGAACAAAGTGTATGCTTGATATTGATAGCTCTATGACTGCTGCTTTGTAAATGGGAAGTCAAATTGTCTTGTCCACTCATATTGTATTGTGTTTGATCTTTTTCAATCATTTGATTGTTTATAAACCCTTTGCTATGATGCATTTTGGTGTCTGGCTGTTGTGTAAGAATGTCTATTTTGGACTCACAGGAGTGTGAGTAAAGTAAATGATGAATGGTTTGGTGATGAGGAGAAGGTACGCAAGGCTGTTGGCTTATTGGAGAAGCCTGTAGTTAAATTTCCAGATGGGAATGAAGTAAGTAGCCAGCATTCTGTTGATAGTTTCATCTTTTTCTTCAGAAGCTTCTGGTGTTCATTTATACTTTATGCCCTAGTTTTTATCACTTTCTACCTATAAAATTTGTTTTGACATGCCCTATTGTTTGACAGATGACTTGTGGAATTTGTTTTGAAAACTATCCTTGTGATAGGCTGCATGC